CTTTTAACTCCTCAAAAATGCAACACTGATTTATATTCTTGTGGTTACATTTGATGACTAAACGATGTGTTTCTATGGGCTAAATCAAGGGAGTTGAGAACAAGTGAACAGAATTTATTCATTTGTTGAAGAGGAAACTTGGGCAAGCGAAGAACTATCCAGAAAGAGAGATGGTGAGTGTGGCAGTAGAATGGCCACCGCCTCACAGGTGTCACACACAGTCTGGGATAAATGCCACTGAAATGCAGCTGAAGAGAGAGAAAGGACCTAATGTTGAGTGGATCAAGACTCCAGGACCGAAGACTCGGATCGAACAAGAATAGCAAACAAGCAAAACAAATGTAGACTCGGTAGGGCTGGGACGCCTCAAACAACCCCATTTTAATACCTGCCCATCAAATATCGACTGAGAAGACCTCTTGAAGATCTGATGTATACCTTGATTGCCGCTGGGAAGTCTTCACAGGTGACCAGCATGTACCTATCCTTCCAGTTGACGTGATCTTTACCGCGTATCTGGGGATTGAGTGAATTTAGTTGAAGTTTCTTAATCGGGATGTAGAGTGAGTGGTGATTAAGATTTCAAGTTGTGGGATGGTTAATACTGATACCTTTAAGAAGCTTTCCACGGCAATCTTTCCGTAGTCAAGATACGTCGGTCCCAAATAAGTCCGTTGATTCATGGATCCGCTGGTATCTATAAGGAACAGGATGACAGCCATCGCGATTCATGAGACCTAAAGGAGTTGTTGGGTTACTTGTAAGTTTTACACTCACTACCGACGAACTTAATGTTGCGTTAGTGTATCATTGTCCGCAAACTAGTAGAGCTCCCAAAACACAACAGCCACAACGGGCTGTTGCTGGAATTACAAGGAGAGCTGCTAGAGGAAACAAAAAAGTCACGTGGGAGGTCACTGTGTCATGCTTCGATCACGCTTCCCAATCTCAGGTGCTCGATTGGCTAACGCTTAACTTTGCTGCTTACTCCGCACACATTTCAGAACTGACTATGTGAGATCTGTGATGACAAAGTTTGGGACGTTGATTGCGCGTCGCGGTAGTTCTAAATATTTCATAATAAAAGTCAATTCCTTGGCACTTAGAGTACAAACTAAATATTTTAAAACTCTTATTGCTTTAAGAATTATTCTGCAAACAAAACAACACTAACAGTTGCTAAATTTAATTCACGGAACAGAATTTTTATTATGATAATATGAAAAACTATAATGAAAATGTTAAATAATTTAATAAAGATTGAAATGAAAATTATTAAATGTTTATAAATAATTGGATAATCTAAAGTATAGATTTTTGTAAATTTTATTAAATCAAGCGGTATACTATAAAACGTTAGATGATATAAAATAATTGTAAATCGATATTTATGATTTGTAAATTGGACATGAATTGAAATCAAATATCAAACATTTTCGGTTTCAATTTCAAAATCACACACATGAATACAAAAAATTATAAAAGATTTTTAAATGATATGAAAAAGGTTTTTTAGAATTTCTTATAATTATGATATAATGATGTAAAAAAATGGGATCTATTGACAAAATAAATGGTTAAAATACCCAGAAGCGCTAAAATTCTAAAAATGTGTGCCGCGCAATTTTTTTCTTTTATAGAACTTCGTTATTGGTTATAAATCGAGCGCTATTTATAAAACTTCCCTGTTCTTGTCAACCGTCAGTTATTAAATTTATTTGACCGTTTAGTTAAATGATTTTAGTTTTTAAACACATTTTACAGAATAAACAAATTCACATCAATTTAAGTATGACTATTTTTTCTTGACTACTAATTGAATAGTGAATGGGTAGAAAGCAATAGAAAAAGTATTCGAATGATGTACATAAAATATAACAATAACCCTATATAAAATGAAACCGTCAAAAATCTAGTGTATATGTGAAAATTGGCCAGAAATTGGGCAGAAAACTGATCTAGGTCAAGGAACGTGCGGCCTGAAAGTGTTTGCACTCACCAAAATGCTAGCTGGGATGAGTTTTAGAAGACAAGTCTCTTTGACCGTTTAGTTGCCGACGATTCATTAACTTTCACGTCTTAAGTATGCTTTGATGATACTTGTGCTCTACAAAAGAAGTTTTGATTTTGTCTTTGCCTCGAGCGTTCTAAATCACTCTATCTTCGAGATTTTTAAAAAGGGCCCCCGAATGTTGAAACCAACTTGAATCGATGTATTTTCGGACGCTGATTCTGAATCACCCCCATAACACAGTGTTAAAATACTTCCCTGGTGAGATATTGGCGAAGAAATGTCCCGATCACGTGATGTGACCGATTAAGGACGTTGGTCTAATTTCTCGTTATGGTTTCAGCATATGCTTCTGTCAGGGATTGGGTTAGGGTTAGGGGTGGGATCAGATCCCTATTGGGCTACAGTGTAGAGTGATTAATCATCATCCTCTTGGCTTTATAATGAGTTATACTTAAATTACACATTTGCTCACATCACTGCCATCGCTCTGTCACCTTCCTTGTGTTGTTGGTTACTTTTGTGAGCGGGATATAAACACCTCATTTCATTTCATACATTGATCATATCTTTTTGCCAATATTTAATTAACTAGTTTTATTTCACATTTTTTTATGACACAGTAATTTATTGACACTCACAGCTATAATTTTAATCATTGAATCAGTATTTTTATCTGTGCTCTGCGTATTGCATCACATGAATCAGTTTTTTAAAATCTATTAACTTATTACACATTTGTGCTCTGCTTAAGCATCACTTGACTATTTAATAAAATTGTTTGTTCAGGCCATGACCTTATAGTCAGCCAATTGGCCATTGCTATATTATGTGTATATTGTTTTATTTCACAACAATTATCAGATATGGAACGTCCCTCTTTCCTCAGCTGCCAGAACTGTTGCTTCACTTCCTATAGCCTTGGTGTTACTGATCCTACGGAAGCTTCAGCAACATTCACCCTCTGTCCCCACCACATAGCCGAATGGAGAAGAATGCCCCACCTCCCCAACCCATCTACTATCCTTTCTACTTATCCTGAACCATCTATGAAACGTCCCAGACTTTCTTCCTCTAAACCAATAAAACAAGAAATTTTGTCAATGGAAAAACCTCTCTCCTCCACTCCCTCGATAACAGCTCCTGCCCCCGTCATCTCTCAAACCCCAAGCTTTACCTCCACCTCAACTTTTCTACCTAATTCACGACATGTCTCCAAATCAAAACCAAGACGTCCTCCTTCCTGGTCCCCACAAGGCTGCTTGGATTTCTATAACAAAGTAAAGAAAAGATGTCTTGACCCTGACTACCCGGTCAGTTTGTCCAATGCCATCCAATATGCCACTAATTCTAGGTGTAGTAGTAATAATCAAGGCTTCAAAATTAAACGAAATATAGCTGAGTTGATGATTCTGGACCACGAAACCTTTACCAGGACTAAACAAAATATGGATAGAGAACGGATGGATCAGACACACTGTTTGTACGAAGTTTCACTACAGAGTCTGAGTGACGAGTGTCACAAGATTCTCAGCACGCCGGAAATGATGAGGAAACGACAGATTGCTGTAGAGGATGGATTTATATTTGGGAAATTCGTCTTAAAAGATACTTGAACTTCAAAAAATTGTACATATATTGCAGTAATCTAATCTAATTGCAGCAGCACACACTTACTGTTACTATCACGATTGTACTATAAGCTGAAAAGCTCTCAGATCGATTTTGGGCATTCTTAACCACTTGATATAATGTTTAATAGTCATTAAATATTATGAATGACGCAGTCATACACGAGTGCATAGAATGGAGGGGGGGCCAGATATCATACCAGAAATTTGAATTTTACTGATGGATATCCATTGGATACCTATTACCTATTCAACAATTTTCGTGAGAATTTTTTGATAAACCACAAACCTGCACTGCTGCCTTAAACACTAGGTGGCCTAGTGGCCGAATGATAGGAAACTTAATTGAGGGTTAAATGAGGAGGGGTACCTGTTAAAAGTTCAAGAAACTTCCTAGGATACCCCTTCAGTGCATACTGTAAACATAGTACTATTACTCCTTATAATCAAACGATAAGATATCTGTTATAAAGCTAAAGGTCCTGCTTAAGCTATCCACTCTGATAATTGATATCGATAATTATCTCCGATAATTCGTTAAAAAAAGTTATTTGCTTATCTAGATAAAATATATTTTTATTGGTATAAAAATTCAATAGAAATAACCGAATACTGCCACAATACAGTGATAGAACCTAAATCGTTATCTGTTTATCTAGATAAAAGATAAAAGATTTCATACCGATAATGGATAGCCTACTCCTGCTAGTTATATATAAAATATATTTTTGTTTGCTTTAATTGATATTAAATAAAGTTGTACAATTATATGTTTTCTTGAAATTGTCGTTTTCTTGTCCTGTAAAATACTAATTATTATTAATACTTTCAACACTACTATATAACAAATAATCTGAGATCATGAATACGATGTAGTTACATTGAAACGTCGAGTAAACTCCTTTCCCTAATAAGAGCATTTTCACTTGTCGCAACAACCGGGATAAAGATAATTTTACACAATACATTTATATATTGAGTATCTATTTTTTGGATTATAACGCAAGACCAGCCGCAATCTTTATTTTAATATTGATTGTTGATATATACAAATATTTTATTTCATTTCATTTCATTTGATAAATAACAAACCTGCACTACTACTTTAAACACTCCTTTTTCTCGTTTTTCCAAAAATAGTTTTTTGAACTTTAGAATTTGCTTAATTAAAATTCTCTTAATTAGTTAACCCTTATTGCTTGAAAATATCGAGAATACGAATGATTTTTGTAGCAAAAATACATACCATAATTAGCGCGCTAGTTGTATTCAACTCTCTGCCAATACCATCACACGATTTGATTGAATGTATCATTTTCTATCTTTTATCATTTAAAAATTAACTCCCCTTCCTTTATAGCGGCCCATGGTCCAGGGTTGTGATTTGAACATAATGGACGTTAAGTCCAACGTCACCAAAAGCATCAAGGTAAATTAAACTTTAACATTATTGTTATATTGGGGGGGGGGGGGGGGGGTGTCACGTCCGTCTATGTCCGCTTGTCTCATAGAATCCATCAAGGACAGGACATAGGCGGACATAGGCGGACATAGGCGGACATAGACGGACATAGGCGGACATAGACGGACATAGGCGGACATAGGCGGACATAGACGGACATAGGCGGACATAGGCGGACAAAGGCGGACATTAATGGACACCTAAATTGCTAAATAAAATGTTCAATTTTTGCTGTTATTGGGGATCATGTTTTTTTCCTCTTCCTCCTCCCCTCCTCAGTCCTCCTCCTACTCCTCGTCCTCAGTCCTCCTCAACAGTCCTCCTCCCCAGTCCTCCTCCTCCTCCTGAGTCCTCCTCCTGGGTCCTCCTCCTGGGTCCTCCTCCTCCTCTTCATCCTCCTCCTCTTCCTCCTCAGTCCTCAGTCCTCCTCAGTCCTCCTCCTCATCCTTCTCCTCAGTCCTCCATCCTCCTCTTCAGTCCTCCCCCAGTCCCCCTCCTCAGCTCCTCCTATTCAGTCCTCCTTCTCAGTCCTCCTGAGTCCTCCTCCTCCTCCTCCTCTTCCCTCTCAGTCATCCTCCTCAGCCATCCTCCTCAGTCCTCCTCCTCAGTCCTCCTCCTCCTGGGTCCTCCTCCTCCTCTTCATCCTCCTTCTTTTCCTCCTCGGTCCTCAGTCCTCCTCCTCCTGGGTCCTCCTCCTCATCCTTCTCATCAGTCCTCCTCCTCCCCAGTCCTCTCCTAGTCCCCCTCCTTCTCCTCCTCCTATTCAGTCCTCCTCCTCCTCCTCCTCAGTTCTCCTGAGTCCTCCTTCTCAGTCCTCCTCCTGAGTCCTCCTGAGTCCTCCTCCTCTTCCTTCTGAGTCCTCCTCCTGAGTCCTCCTCCTCCTCCCTCTCAGTCATCCTCCTGAGTCATCCTCCTCAGCCATCCTCCCCAGCCATCCTCCTCAGCCATCCTCCTCAGTACTCCTCAGTCCTCCTCAGTCCTCCTCCTCCTCCTCAGTCCTCCTCCTCCTCCTCCTCCTGGGTCCTCCTGGGTCTTCCTGATCCTCCCCAGTCCTCTTCCTCTTCCCCTCCTCAGTCCTCCTCCTACTCCTCCTCCTCGTCCTCAATCCTCCCCATCAGTCCTCAACAGTTCTCCTCCTCCCCAGTCCTCCTCCTCCTCCTGGGGCCTTTTCCTGGGTCCTCCTCCTGGGTCCTCCTCCTCCTGGGTCCTCCTCCTCCTGGGTCCTCCTTCTCCTCCTCAGTCCTTCTCCTCCTCCCCATCAGTCCTCTTCCTCCTCTTCCTCTTCCTCCTCCCTCTCAGTCATCCTCCTCAGCCATCCTCCTCAGCCATCCTCCTCAGTCCTCCTCCTTCTCAGTCCTCCTCAGTCCTCCTCCTGAGTCCTCCTCCTCCTGAGTCATCCTCCTCAGTTCTCCTCCTCCTCCTAGGTCCTCCTTCTGGGTCCTCCTCCTCCTGGGTCTTCCTGATCCTTCTCCTCCCTCTCAGTCATCCTCCTCAGTCATCCTCCTCAGTCATCCTCCTCAGCCATCCTCCTCAGCCATCCTTCTCAGCCATCCTCCTCAGTACTCTTCAGTACTCTTCAGTACTCTTCAGTCCTCAAAATGTTTGTCCGCTAATGTCCACCAATGTCCGCTAATGTCCACCAATGTCCATCCAAGTCCGCCAATGTCCGTCCGGGTCCGCTAATGTCCGTCCGAGTCCGCCAATGTCCATCCGAGTCCGCCAATGTCCGTCCGAGTCCGCCAATGTCCGTCCGAGTCCGCCAATGTCCGTCCGTGTCCGCCAATGTCCCAAAAAACACGTCCGTTGTCTCATAGAATCGAAAAAGGACAGGACATAGGCGGACATAGACGGACATGACACCCCCCCCCCCCTATATTGTTAATTAAACATATCTCTTGACATGGTTGCATGTTCTATAAATGTATTGTTAATATTTCGGTTTATTAGTGACCATTTATGAGCTGTTTTTGTGAATATTGTAAACAAGATGTGTTATGACGTCACGTGATGATGTCACTAGTCAGGTGACGTCACATGATCTCGTTAATTAGTTTTCTGTTATGTTTACAGTGTTTGAAAGAGTTTAGTGGTTCTACGGGGGGGGGGGGGGGGGGGGGGGGGGGGGGGGGGTAATGACTACTTTTGGGACTTGGGGAATTACTAGTTCAAGGGGGCTATATTTATGAGTCGCATTTAAACTTGATTTCTCTTGGAGAATTTCTCTTTAGACTCTTAACTTGCGAACAAATTGAAGCAGCAAACTTTAGGCTAGAAACTTTATTGAATTGAAATAATCATTCCACGTAACAACGTCTTCTTCAGTTCTGTAATAAAATTGTTAAACATGTGTAAAAATTAACGACGGAAAGAAATTTAAAATAACATTAAAACAAAAACAGAGAAATAAAATTTCCGAAATATGACCCAAAAAATGTAATTGCAAAAAATGTCAAAACAACAAAAAATACGACAAGAAGAAATGTGAGCTAATACAACTAAATACTGTACTACTCATGATACTAAACTAATTAGTAAACGTAAAACTGGTTGTTCAGAATTCACAGTTCATGTGTAAAAACTAATGATAAAATCAGCACTTAAGCAACGATAACTCGGTTGTCATGGATACTATCCAAGATAGTCCTATCAATACATTATTTACTAGTTAAACATCGACTAAATATTTGTACAAATAACTCAACTCAGAACGATCATTCATTTCAGGACTTAATCTCAATATATACATCGCTTCTACAATCTTTCTACGAACAGTTTTACTCTGTAAATCAAGTAACTTAAAAGATAAAACTGGGGTTCGGTTAGGATGTAGAGATGCGTAGTGCTGTCCAACCCCATTCTCTGGATGTGCTCTAGGATTCCTAGCAGCCTGTCTGTGCTCCATCAGACGAGCATGGAGGCTTCTCTCAGTTTCCCCACAGTATCTCTTACCACATAACTCGCAAGTAACTAAGTAAATAGCTCCTTTTGTTGAGCATGTTGTTCCTGTGAGTCTAGGGCAGATCTCACAATTGTTAGGGTTACCAAGGTCACAAGTCTTCTTATCCAGTGGACGAGAGCGGCAGAAGATGTCCTGTAACTTCTTACCAGGTGTAAAAATAACTCTGATGGGGAGTTTGTTAGATTTGATGTAGTTGCGAATCTTATTACAAACTGTTCCAGAGATGAATGGTAAGGTGAGTGGGACAGAGTCAGGTGTGGTTTGACGTCTTCTCCTAGTCCTCCTGTTCCTTGCGTTATGACTCAGAGGTTGGTGTCCATTTTTCTTTAAGAGATCATCGATAATCTTAACTGAATGATCGAGTTCCTGGGGTCCTGAGGAAGCAATGGTGGCATTACGGTAGAAGTTCTTCTTACACTCCTCCTTCACTGAGTCCGGGTGGTGTGACTTCTGGTGTAATGTTATCCCCTTGTTCTGGGTTTTCCTGTAGAATCTGTGGTGCACTTTTCCTTCCTCATCGATCCGGATTTCCGTACTCAGGAACGGGACAAAATCCGCAGGGGTAGACGGGAACTCAATCTCCCACTTGATTCTGTTATCGGGATCCTGGTCGGCTATGCGTTGTAACATATCCAGTGCTTCTTCTCTGGATTTGGCTAAGGAACCAGCATCATCTACATACCGTTTGTATAAGAACCGAACAGGGTTACTGATGTAATAACTGTCTAAATATATACTATTACGCTCGAATTTCCACATTCTAATAATCGCTACAGGAGGGGATGGTCTACAACCCATGAATAAACCTAAAAGTTGTTTATAAAGTCTCCCATTAAATGTAAAATAAGAATTCGTCAAAACTACTGTAAAGATACCTCTAATTTCTGATAAACTTAAACAATACGTACTTAACTTACTCCAATGTTCTTCTGCAAATTCAATAACTGTCTCAATACACTCATTGATATTCAAATTCGTATACAAAGCTGATACATCCGCTGTAAAGAACTGTAAACCTTTAAGTTCACTCTCTGGTAGCCTACAGAGGATGTCCAGGTGGCTGTAGATATCGTACATATGAGTAGGTACTTCTCTCAACAAAGGACTGATAATGTCGGTAACTAACCAAGCCAACTTCTCTGTAGGTGAGCCACAACACGATACGATTGGTCTAACTTTCATATCCTCCAAGTTGATACGAGAGTAGTCAGTATCAGGTGGGAACTTGTGTGTCTTCACCAGGGTGTACATAGTAGGTAATGTAGAGTACGAGCTAATAAATAAATCCTCAATACGTGAGTCTAATTCCATATGGTTACTGCAAATAGTCCGCCACAACCTATTACACTCTGATTCAATATCTGCACATTTCTTGTTAATTTGATTCTGATACGTTATAGGAGTAGGTCGTTGAACAGGTCTGCGTACTCCGTAACTCGAACGGGTGGGCTCTACCCATTCGTAGACTCCAGAAGTGCTCTTGTTCAGGTGTTCGATCGTTAGCGTCCGGTACGTATCAACACTAGTCACGACAAACTCGCCACACTTATCAGACTTCGAGATGTGAATGTTCGGTCTTTCCTTGAGAGTACGTAGTCCAGTTCGCTGATTAAAAGTGAGGTTTGATGGTGGCTGGATATCTGGTGCTCTCAGGATGCTCATCATAAACCGGTTGAACAATTTCAAGTCCATCTCGAGTTGTGGATCTTCGTTCGGTGGTGCAGGGATGTAGGGTCGTTGAAACGGGCATTTCTTCTTGCGTGCTTGCCTGTACAAAGAATCTAACTGTCCTGGGTTCAGAGCTTCGTTAGGTTCGTTGGATTCGTTGTTACGTTTCCATCTGCACTTATACGCACATTCAGTCAAGTTCACTTCAACCTCTTTTATCAACGATTCATCCACTTTCCGAGGTAATGCGAATTTTGGACCGAGTGATAAGATGTCCAGCTCGGCCTCCGTAACGTTCAGTGGTTCCTCAGGATTGCAATCAATAACAGTAACTCGTGATGTAGGGGTGGATGGATCCACGATAGTGGTGTGAGGAGGAGGACTATAGGGGTAATGCTTCTGAAGTAACCAGTAAAACTTATTCTGAAGATGCTCCTTGTAATCACGTTTAACGTCTAGATTATTTGTTTCAAATACTGACAAGATTTCATGAAGACACCACTGATTCGAGAACACAAGATATAACTGGTGTTTAGTATCACAAATGTGTTGTTTCAAACAATTGATGTCCGCATATAACTGTTTAATACATTGATTTAAACTGAGGATGCGGATCTTATGTAACAACACAGAGAAGTCCAGAGGGAGATGATTAGGAAATAAAATGTCTGTATTTAAATTACAATTGTTCAAAATGAATGCTGGAAAAATCCTAGTAGCTTTGCATTTCTTCATAAAACATAACTTTTGTTCCGTGACTTTTAGTTTTTCACCTAAGCTAAGAAATTGACGGGTAAGCCCAATACTGGATCGAGGTAATCCCAGGTTGGATAAATAGTTCAAGGGGGCTATATTTATGAGTCGCATTTAAACTTGATTTCTCTTGGAGAATTTCTCTTTAGACTCTTAACTTGCGAACAAATTGAAGCAGCAAACTTTAGGCTAGAAACTTTATTGAATTGAAATAATCATTCCACGTAACAACGTCTTCTTCAGTTCTGTAATAAAATTGTTAAACATGTGTAAAAATTAACGACGGAAAGAAATTTAAAATAACATTAAAACAAAAACAGAGAAATAAAATTTCCGAAATATGACCCAAAAAATGTAATTGCAAAAAATGTCAAAACAACAAAAAATACGACAAGAAGAAATGTGAGCTAATACAACTAAATACTGTACTACTCATGATACTAAACTAATTAGTAAACGTAAAACTGGTTGTTCAGAATTCACAGTTCATGTGTAAAAACTAATGATAAAATCAGCACTTACGTCAACGATTTTACCCCGAGTCCCCATGATTTTTAGTCCCCATTAGTCCCCAAAAGTCTCCATTAGTCCCCATTTAGATGATTTTTAGTCCCCATTAGTCCCCCCCCCCCGGTTCTACTGAACTTGATTACGGACCGAAACAAACTGAAACGAGATTTTCCGTTTCACTATCTACTAACTATCCTATCTGGTCGGTAATCACCGTAATCAAGCCTAGGAGAAAAACTGATTCAAAGGAATACTTACTACTTATTACTTACGTTACATTGTAGGAAACTAATAGTCACCTGTACCTCATCAGTCAGTAAGTGTTTATTTTGCTCATAATTTGATGTGTAATTACTAATGACTGTCAGGTAACGGTTCCCACGGAAGAACAGAAGCGATTAGCACAGTTATCCTCATTCGAACGAATAGAAACGATGCAAGATAATATTATTAAAAAAATGGTAAGTTTCTACTCTTCATTGTAAAAAGGGCTTGTGATACACTGACCAATTCAGATCATTAAATCCGGCAAATCGAGACTCGCCCAAAGTTAGTTAAACAATTTAATGATAATTTCCTTGAAAGCACGTGCCATAATAGTTTTTACATGAAAAAGTACGAATATAACATACTCGTTGAAAGTTTTTATACATGAATGTGTTGCATATTAATTGGTTGCCTGACAGGTAGAAGTCACGAAGCACACGTATGAAGAGTGTGCTATGGAATTGGCGGGAACGGACATGGACATGGAATCAGCTATAACTAATTTAATAGATGGTAAATCCTTAGTCCTTATTAATTAATATACTGTTAATCAATGTACTGTTTATAGACTCTACTCAGTGGGATAATGTAAGTGTAGAATATTATTATTATATAATTCTTAAGTCATCGAGTACCTATTGTATGTATTCCAGGTGTATTTCTGTTGACTGACATACCCTTAAGTTTTAAAAGCTGTTTAAATGCCGCATCACGTTCTCACGCTATACCGTATATAATAATATAATACCACCTTTTCAAATTTGCAGTTTTTAAAGCCTCAAATTTAAGATGAAGTTAGTGTACTAAAACTTCATATCTTGTACAGTATACAGTATACAATGTACATGCGTGTATACATTATACACTGCACTGATAGTACACACTGATGTTTAAAAAACTATGCTTGCTATACGTACGTGTGATATATAATCACAAGTAATGTTACTTTACAATCGCTTCTGTGTGCTAGAATTAAAAAGTTCCGCAAAGTTTCAATCCTCCTTCCCTTGCTCTACCTCAGGCAGGGTGGGGGCCAGGGGGGCACCAGCATGCAACGTTACGTCCCTTGCTCTACCTCAGGCAGGGTGGGGGCCGGGGGGGGGGGGGGGGTCCCTTGCTCTACCTCAGGCAGGGTGGGGGCCGGGGGGGGGGGGGGGTCCCTTGCTCTACCTCAGGCAGGGTGGGGGCCGGGGGGAGCGTCCCTTGCTCTACCTCAGGCAGGGTGGGGGCCGGGGGGGTGGGGGCCGGGGGGCACCAGCATGCAACGTTACGTCACAGCATGCAACGTTACGTCACAGCATGCAATGTTACGTCACATCATGCAACGTTACGTCACCGCCTCAATGTCATAATGCACTCAATCTTCTCTCCGCACAGAATTGGTTTCCAATTAGTGGTTATAGTTCACCTAGCACTCGAGTAAGGGGCAATTAGGGGGTCTGGGAAAGTAACGCGTCTGACAACCTTGCTTGAGATCAGGCTTGCTTGAGATCAGGGACCCATTTACAAGCCGTGTTTTAAAGGATCACATGATATAACGTGATAACTATAACGTGATAACTAAAAAGGTGGACATTTTTTCAAAAATTCTGGGGGAAAGGGGAAAAGTACGGTAAATTGGGGTTTTACTGTAATTGGTAAATTTAGGCGAACAAAATTTTGGGGAAGAGTATTTTTTAAATGACACGTTTCACTGCACCTCGTTCATCTTAAATCAGTTACCAACTATCATCACCAATTAATCAATTTATTAGTTATTAATTTGTTGAGGTATTCAAAGTTTACGTAAACAAATTTTTAATTTCCAGACGATGATTATATCAGGTTCCATTCCAGCCGTCACATACATGATATTATCATGCTTAGGAAATAGGAATACAAGGAATACAGACATACAGGGCAAATTCTGGGACACTGTACAGTAGACAACACAGTGACTCTTTTTATAAACAAATCATTAATATTATTCACAATCTGTGACACGTGACCTCTGCTATCCAATCATCTTGCAGAAACAGGACAGTTTCTTGTGATCTGGCATACTTATCACATGAAAGCTTCACTTTTTATGTAACGTGATGTAGTGTGTGACGTAGTGTGTGACGTAGTGTGTGACGTAGTGTGTGACGTAGTGTGTGACGTAGTGTGTGATGTAGTGTGTGACGTAGTGTGTGACGTAGTGTGCACAAACGAGGCTTGGAATCTTCAACTTTTTAAACAAATTGGGGGAGTATGAGATAATCAAAGGAAAATTAGTATATTCTGAATTATGTAAAATACCACATCATAATAATTAGTAATTTTCTTTTGTATGATCATTAAATATTGGGGGGGGGGTGTAACCCAAAAAAACCCAACTCCTACCCAAGAAAAGGTAATACTGGGATTGGGTTTTTTTGGGTTTTTTTGGGTTTTTTAAACAAAATTTAAACAAAATTCTAGCCATTTCATTAATTGTATTGAATGTGAATTATTTCCCACTGAGTCTTACCTACGTGTTGTTCTCATGTCTTAACTTAATAGATAGTTTACATAGTATATGAGTGTGTTTATATTGATAGTATGTTATCACGATAGCAAACAGGATGTCTCGATCATCGAGATATAATCCATATGAATGCACAAAGTGGAAATATGCCAAATGTGGCAAATGTGTTCTCCTGTCATGGAAGGAGGCTATGACGAAGGTCAAGGGCAAGTCAAAGCACATGACTTAAATTACTTGACTTAAGGCGGCTTCAGAGTCCGAGTCTCAATGATGTGTCTCCAAAGCTTTCTGTCCGCCATAAGCTCCTTAATCTCCCCAGTGTTCTTGAGTACGATGTCACTTATTAGGTTATCGACGAAAGTGAGCGGTGGTCTGCCCCTCCCTCTGGTCCCATGGCTAGGTTCCCGAAGGAGAAGTTGGTGTACTGCCAGGTCATCATATCGCTGGATCTCTGGATGTGCCCAGCCGACCTCATTCTTCTGGCCTGTATCTTCGAACTAACTCTTGGGAGTGATTTAAAGACCTCTTTGTTGGTGCGATGTTCTCTCCAGTCCACGTTTAGGGCCATCCAAAGCATTTTACTGTAACATCCGTCTATTCTTTTCAAAGATTCTGTCATTGTCCACGTTTCCGTTCCATACAGGAAGATTGATTCAACTGTAGCCTTTAAACAGACGGATCTTTAAATCTCGGCGCAAATTGGACCTCCATATAGCCTTCATTTTGTGGTAGGCAGCCCATGCCTTGGCCTTGCGTACCCTAAAGTCGTGCTCTGTTGTACTTATCCAGGCTCCTGGGTAGAAAAATCCTCAACTTCCTCAAAGGCATGTCCGTCCTTAGAAGTTATTGTGTGTGGCTCCTCTTCTACTAAATTAACAGTAAGATGCTTGGTTTTAGACAAAAGAGATTTTCTGCCTCCTCATCAGATGAGGCTTCTGTAGGACTGTAGCATGTGATGACAGTGCTTTCCATTGAAAGACATGGTGAGGATCCTTGCGCTGTAAGATTTTATAAGACTTAAATAGCCTCATATGCTGTCCTCGTCAAGATGATTCCTACTCTCCCATTAGAAGCGCCAGCTGCGTTTCTCCACGCAGATGAGGTCACTAGATGAATCCCTTTGTTCATCTTTTCTATCCTGGTAGGCTCAGAATGCACTACATGATGTTCTTGCAGGCCAAGGATGTGCAGTTTGATTCGAGAAAATAGTTCTGCAAGTTCGATGCGTTTGTGCTGTTCTCTGGCTGTTCTTATGTTAAATGTGCTAACCTTAGCAGTCCTTTTACATGATACAATACAATTGATGTTCATATTTTTTTGATGTTTTCTTGTTTGACTTTCTGTAGAAATAGGTTGTCGTGTTGTGGAGACCGAGTTATCAGCTTCTGTAATAGCAGCGTAATTACCCCGGCAACCACTTCCACTAGAAAAATAAGGGGCTTTAACCCTTAAGCTGTTGATAAGATTCATCTTGACTTTTCAGTTGGCTAAAAATCCTGTGCAGTCCCCTGCACATTGGCAGTGGATTGTGTTCTTAACTCTTGCGCCACTAAAAGAGTAAAAGGTTAAGGCAATCCGCTTGAACAAAAGCCATCTTTAACTCTCACCATAATATCTTGGGTATCTTGAGCATGTAATTGCACGAACATATGCTATACAAGACAAATGTGACACTTCCTTTTTCTACCAAACAGCATCAGTTGTAATCCTTACCCAATCGTCACCTGCTCCAGTGTGGGACTTTCCGATTTTATCCCAAAGCATAAGGAGGTTAGAGTGAGAACAGAGCTACACTTTAGCGGGGACTAACCCTTCCCCTGACTACCTCGTTACCCGGTACCCCGGGCATAGGGAGCCGTATCCTGACTACCAGAGTGTGGTCCAGTCTAGCTGGGTCATAGTAGACTAGGTTGAACAGGGTAACAGCCAACACATCTTTAGCTACTGTGCAATCCACAGTAAAGATTTACGAGTCTCAAAGCCTCTTGTAGACCAAGAGTTAAGGAGTCAATAGATCAAATTATTGAACTTCCGGGGCTCAATGTCTCCCGTCGACCGTCCTGCCTTTAGCCTGGACCCCCTGTCCAGTATCCAGTCTTCACCACGTGGAGGTAGTGGCTGTCATCATGCTGTCCGATGAGTGTCTGGAAGAGGGCACCAGCAGGATACCCCTTTTCAAAGTTCTGGGAGCCTCACATCAGACCAGGGCTTCCACCCAGCTTCTATCCAGCGGTGACGCCTTGGGCCACCTAAGCTTCACACAACCATTGAAAGACCACCTGCCTACTTGTAAAAATTTTGATGATGCGATAAGAACACTGTAACTTTGAAGGAGAGGCTTTCCAAACATCTTCTGACGGAGCAGAGAGTGACGAAGCGGAAACAGATGATGAAGAAGAGGAAGTGGAGGATATTGACTCATCAGAGGAATGGGCGAAAATAGTAACTGTGTATGGTGATGCTCTGCATCATGATACGGGTGTTGAGGTTTGCCTCAATGGAGGGTGAGATCGAATGCCATCCTAGTCAAGATTTTAGCGACTCCAGGGCCATAAACAAGCGAAGATATCACTTAATATCACATGTGATCACGCAGCTGATGGTAACTGCAAGATTCTTTCAGTTGGAGATAGAGCATGGTTTCTCGTTAAGCGGATGATCAGGAAAACGGAAACAGAGATCGTGAAGTCTAGGTAAACTATAGGTAAAAATATAATATTAATCATAAGCTAAAATGTACTAATCTTTGTATTCTAAATGGGGAAAAAGAAGAAACATTGTCAGTCAGTCGAGAAAATTGTCAGTCAGGCTATATGGCAGCTTTGTAGATGTTGTGACTATGCTAGTAGTGGTCCCAGGCTTGCGACTGGAATTGCGGTGTTAAATCGATTTAATGGTACCAACGATCCACCTCCCACTTGTTGTTTGGTACTTAGCATTAATAGTGTTAGCTGTAGCCATTTATAGCAAGAATCTTAAAACTAAAGGGGATGACAAGGAAAAGAGGAGGGAAAAAGAAT